CGACCCCGCGTCTCCTGCATCGGCAGGCGGACTCTCAAGCACTGCGCCACCAGGGAAGCCCCCCTCATGGATTTTTAAAGGGAGATTTTTAAAAATTTTAAGAATGTGAATTTGGTTTTTAACTAGGATTAAGTACTTTTTTACTGTCATAAACTATAGATAACATAAAATTGACCATCTTAACCATTTTTAAGTGTACAGTTCAGTGGCATTAAGTACATTCCCATTGTTACACAACCATCACCACCATCCATCCCCAGAACTTTTTTTTGGATTAAGTGCTTTTAAAGTGCATTGTCATTTGTTACAGGTTCCAGGGATGTAAGTAGAATCAGCATTTGATTAAGGCTATTTATAGGTAGCAGTGCATCCTTCTTTAAAAATCCTCCATGTTTTCCGTCTTCTAATCGTCTTTCTTTCCTCTCTCGGGCTAAGGACCAGGAGTGCCCTAGGGCATGTCCTTTGCCCCTCCAGTGTTCCACCAGAAAACTGTTTATGTAAAACTCTTGCCAGCCACATCATAGACCCCAAGAAGGGCAAGGAGGGACCTTGCCTCCTTTCACAGGTGAAGAACCTGAAGTCCAGCAAGGTGACAGGTGTCTCCCAAGGCCATGCGTGACGCACATCTCCTGGCCCCCTTGCCCTGCGCCCCTTCCGTCCCACCAGGAGTTTTCCACACCGTTCACCCATCTCCCCATTCAAGCTTGCGCCCCAGGCTGGACTTGATTTCCTGAGTGCCTGTCAGAGATAAGATGTGCCCTCAGAGGCTTCAGAACTCTCTCTTGTTACAGACTTGACTGTCTTACTTCTGGGATTTTAGTCCTTCTCTCAACTGCAATTAGGGGAAGAGTCAAGTTCCCTTTGGTGCCCTGACAGACAAAAAGCAGGTCGGCAATCCCAGGAATCTGATCACAGAGAAAGGGGTTAAATGCAGCATAAATCAGCGAGGATGCTGTCATGAAACATCAGAAGAGGCTTCTGAGAGACGTGCAGTGACAGCCTGAGCCCCTGGCCTTCTCAGATGTCCTAGCGTAACCCCTGCATTGTTCCAGGCCAGGGCCAGTAAATCAACACGTACACCCGCCCTCTGGTCATGAGTGCCGCTAGCTGACAGAGCAGGCTAGTGAGTCCTCTGACCCTGGGGAATGGGAGGCCTCAGCAGGGAGTAAAGATTCCAGGCATTGCTGGTTCCATTGCACAGCACACAGTCCAGCTCTCAGACCCACTCTTCACAGATGTGACAGTCACACTGCCGTCCCCTGGGGTGACCCTCATCCAGAGGTCCGCTCTGTGGCCCAGGGCTGTTCTGCAGTTGGCTTAGGGTTACCACTGAGTTTGTGGACAAAATGACTCTTCCAGGCATGCACTGTCTACTAACTAGCCCACCAAGCCCGGCTGGCGCGCAGTGATGGGGATGTCCCTGTGTCGGGTGGAGGGAGGGAGCGAGTGGTGAGGGGCCGGGAAGGGCTGACTGCTGTCCCTGTCTCCCTGCCACCCGCAGGGGGATCAGACCGCCTTGCACCGGGCCACGGTGGTGGGGAACACCGAGGTCATCGCGGCGCTCATCCAGGAGGGCTGTGCTCTGGACCGACAGGACAAGGTGAGGAGGGAAGTGGGACGGGTCAGCCTGAGGACCCTCTTTGGGACCTACCAAGCTCGTGAGATGCTGTCATTCCTGAGTCAGCGCTCATGCCTTAACATGAGGAAATCAGCCCAGGGTTCCTCTGAAAGAGTATCTGATATTGAATTTTTTAAAAACTCATCCCTCTGTTCTGTGGCAGCAGTGGGCAACCACATAAATATAAATGGTGAAGAAAAAAAGTCTAGAATTAGTGACCTTTGGAGGCCTGGGTGGGGGAAGGGATGTGCCCCAGCCTCTCTCTTTTTTTTTTGTTAAGATAACAGAGTGAGCTAATTTATTTAAACTACACTGGAAGAGAAAATAAGCAAAATCAAGTCTTTAAAAAATCCCAATGACATAGTGTTCTTAAATTGTCCCAGTGTTTTTAAATTGTCAGACCATCTTAAAACATGGGACTTTGCAATTAAGTGCGATCTGGCCTCTGTCCACTTTTTTTAAACAACCTTTTATTACAGTGTAACATACATATACAGAAAGATGCACAACTAATACATGTGCAGCTCAGTGAGTTTGCACTGCCTGAGCACATCTGTGTGAGCCCCCAGATCAAGGAGGTCATTACCAGCGCCCGGAAGTGTTCCCACCTGGGACCCCCTTCACTCTTCTTCTGCTTCCGGGCCACATATCCGCCACCACCATTCCCAGCACCTGGCCTTTGGTACAGCCCTCGAGACCCTAGACTTCCCCTGTGGGTGTCAGCAATATCAGGCCCCGTGGCTTACTGTGTTGAATGAATGTCTAAGCCAGAGCCTGGACGCAGTTGGACGCTGTCCCTGCACTGCCCCCAGCTGACGGCCCTGCTCCTGGCCTGGAACAGCCAGGAGGGCGTTTCCATCTCTCCTCTCTGTGCCGCGGTCCCCTCACCCCTAATTCCAGGTCCCACCCCACGCAGTTCATTGCACTTAATGTGTCTTTTTTTAGTAGTAAGTTAAGCAAATACAAACTATGTTTAATGGGTTGATTTCTATTGAAAAACCGTCTATTGAGGACACTCATTTACCTTATTTACAGATAGATCACTGTTCTCAGTGCCTGCTCATTTGTTTGGGGCCCTGAGGCTTTTGGATAATGGGAGAGATTAGATTTGGGGGAAGAAAAAGGAGCAGTGGAATCTCCCTGTCTGCCCTTGGGGCCCTGGAACTTGTGAAGCTGGACTCTTCATTTGCCTGACCTTTGCAGGGTCCTCTCTGGGGCCAGAGCAGAGCAGAGGAGGCCCTCAGGGGCGGTAGAGGTGGGGAGAAAGGGGCATCATTCCTCCTGATGCTACTTTCTGTTACACATGAGCTGTTCATGGGCCCTGGAGCCTTTCTCACCCTGGGTTCCCGGAGAGACTCAAGCCCTAATGCCTGAAGTCATCCATTGTAATACATCCTAAATCTAGAACGGACCTGGAACGGTACTTGTTAGGTACCATTTCTGGAAGAGTGGAGAAACTGACCACTCAAATCACTGCCTGGGTTCTGTGGTTCAGGTGAGAAGCCCCGGCGGAGAAAGGCCCCTGCTTGTGCCCTGAAGTACCGTGTGCTCTGTTGACGACAGTGAGACGGATCAGGCCCAGCTGATGTGCTTTCTCCTGTGTGCTCCCCAGGACGGGAACACGGCCCTGCACGAAGCGTCCTGGCACGGTTTCAGCCAGTCTGCCAAGCTGCTCGTTAAAGCAGGAGCCAATGTGCTTGCCAAGAACAAGGTGAGGCCCGGCAGGTGCTAGATCCCCTCGGCCACAGGTGAGGACAGCCCGACCTGCCTTCCCGGTGGGAGCCTCCTCTCGCTGAGCAGGGCGAGGGCTCAGGGCCGCGGAACCTGGTGGGAATTGAAAGCTTGCAGCTCCTTGGTGGGCGCGATGCACGGGGTCCACGTTGGGGGGAGGAGGATCTACCTGGGGCCCCGGCCTCCCGTGAGCACTGCGGCTTCCCTGCCGTCCCGTTGGTCTGTTGAGTGTGAGGTTGAGGGGGCCAGCCCTGTCCTGCGGGGACAGGAAAGGACAGCAGCCTCCCCTCTCTCTCTGTCCTCTGTCACCCCTCTCTCCTCCGTCCCTCTCCTCCCATGCTCGTTATTAGTGTGTCCCCGGACTAGCTCAGAAGCCTCACAGCAGACTGACCCATCTGCCTGGGGCCTCTCCAGAGTGACCTCAGCCTCTGTTGCTGTTGTCTCTCTGGGAGAGCTTGGCGTGTACCTCCTGCACAGCAGTGTGGGCTCACCGTCACCTCCCGCTCCCTGGGGTACCCTGTTCCTTTCTGCCCGCTGACCTCCAGCTCAGTCCCCGCAGGCCCATCGGGCGGTTTTTTAGAGGGCTCTCTTGGACTGCACACAGGTCTGTGCTGTGTTGACTGGTGAAATGTTTCTCATGGTTCCCTCAGGGGCCGAAAGCTTGAGGAAAGCAGCAAGCCATGCATTTTAACACCTCCAGTAATGCCTGGCTCACTGCCCGGCATGCTGGTGGCTCTCCATTTCTTCCAGGTGGTACATGGTCTGGAACATTATACCAACTCGAAGTAGGTGGTTTCCAGTTAATGGATAGGGAGGCCTCAGCTGGGAGCTAGTAGTCTTTTGTAAGATACGTGATTCGTTTGTGACACAATTAGGGCGGTAAACCAGCCCTGGTGGGTCTCCACCACACTCCCTCCTGTCCCCTGCAGGGCCCCAAAAGTATTGTGTGGGAAGCCGTGTGTCCTCTCTCTAGATAAAGCAGCAGGGGCTGTTGGAAGCACAGGTGAGGTGCCATCCCAGAAGAGGGACTTCCATTCTGCACCAGCCACAGCCTCTGGGGAAGCCTCTAGAAGGTCCTTCTCTTTTTTCCCCCAGCTTTATTGAGGTATAATCGACAGATAAAATCGTAAGATATTCAAAGTTTACAACGTGATGATTTGATAATTCCCAGGGGTTAATGAACACATTGATCACCTCACATATTTACCTTTTGTGTGTGTGTGAGAACATTTAAGTTCTCCAATTAGCGAGTTTCAATTATAGAAGACAGTGTTATCAGCTGTGGTCACCACGTTATACATTAGATCCTCAGGCCTTGTTCATCTTATAGCTGAAAGTTTATACCTTTTTACCAACCTCTGTGTATTTCCCCACACCCCAGCTTCTGGCAGCCACTTTTCTACCACTGTTTCTACCAGTCCATCTGTTTTTTTCAGATCCCACGTAGACGTGAAATCATACGGTATTTGTCTTTCCGTAACTTATTTCACTTGTATTGCCCTAGGTTCACCCATGTTGTCGCGAATGACAGGATTTCTTTCTTTTTTAAAGGCTGAATAACATTCCATTGTATAAGAAAGGTCCTTACTCGGCAAAGTATAGCAGCCCTTGTCTGGGAGATCAGTACTCATTACTCAGGGTGGGGAAAATGCCTGCTGTGTATATCTACCTAGGTCACAGTTCTTTTTAATTTCAGGTTTTGACATTGCAGCCTTTTGCATCTGATTTCTTTCACTTTGCACAGTGGTTTTGAGAGTCTTTTATATTGTTTCGTGTATGATTAGTTCATTCCTTTTTATTGCTGAGTAACGTTCCATTGTATGGATGTACCACAATCTGTATTCTAACCCATGTCTTTTCATTTTCTTCATCCAGATGCTTTTCAGCATAATTGATTTTTTTATTGGCAAAGTAAATTTTGGTATATTTCTGCAAGCCATCAGATTTCTTTTATTTTAGTCATTTATTCAACACATTCAATGACTCCCACGAAGCCAGCAGCTTTGAGACAACCTTCTCTATGTGCACTGAGAATCATACCAAGCCGAGCCCTGAGCCTTGCCACAGGGAGCGGAGTGTTTAAAACACGGGCAGACCCTTCATTTTGGAGGACTAAGCTAGCAGTGGTTCTCTACCTGGCTGCGCTTTAAAATCTCCCGGGAAACTTTAAAAACACGGGGAGAGGGGAGAAAGCCAAACCCACCTGATGACCAGGCCTGGGGTGACCAGCTGTACCGTTTTGCCCTGAGTTGGGGGGTGGGGTTTCCCAGCATGCCGGCCTTTCAGCGCCTACACCCTGGGGCGGGGCCATCAGAGTTGCGTCTGCGCACTGGTCTATTTAAAGGGTCCCCCAGGTGACTCCAGACTGCAGTCGAGGGTTGATGACCAACGGACGAGCTCCTGCAACTTTCGGGCTTAGAACTCACCAGGTTCCTGGAGGTAACAGCAAGGAAGGAAGACTCTACCCAGGCTGTTTAGAGCTAAGGTGGTGAGAGGGGAGTGAGTGACCCAGCAGCACACAGTTTTCCTTTATTTTTAAAAACTCATTCGTCTTTTCATAAGGGAAGGAATATAAACCGTCCTTGAGTATGGGAAGACAGTGCTGTGTGATCCAGAGAGGAGTAAAGCAGGCCAGGGAAAAGCCCTAAACAGGCAGGCTGATAGCTCTGAGCCCGCAGCTGCAGGCCTGACGCAGCTTTTAAGCTCAGCAGAACAAACATTGAGCTTATGTATTTATTCTCCTGAGTCCTTGCAGGCTGACACCAAATCACGTTGCCTGTTTCTCTTGTTGCTTTTCTAGGGGTTAGCAGCAGCCTTGCAGGCCTTATTCCCATAGTTTCAAAGAGTTCTCTTGTCACGAATTCTTTCTGCAACATTACTGTGGACATGATTCTGACCTTTGGTTGCCATTTTGACCTTGAAGGTAGAGTCCAAAAGCAAGAGGGTCTCTATCTGTGTGGGAAGTGACAGATGCAGTTGTATTATGGCCTGTTGGGTGGAGGCCTTGTCCGTAGTTCAAATTTTGATGTTTCAAGAAAAACCCAAGATTTAAAAAGGCTTGCAAATTCTGTTAACCTTTAGCCTGCAGTGTCGGATGTGGCCTGTTTGCCTTCCTGACTCTGTTGGTAGGGTAGCCAACCAACAGCCACCCTAACACAGCTCTCCTCTGTGTTCCTCTTGTCACTAAGAGGAACAACCTCGTGCACGTGCACAGCACTCTGCCATTAAGAAGATGCTCTCCTAGGCTCTCAGAATCAATCCTCACAGCCTCAGCATGTAGGAGTCACGCTCCATTTTACAGGTAAGGAATTCAATTAAGAGCCTTGCCCAGTAGCTTGTGACGAGTTAAGTGGCAGAGCCAGGACTTGGAACCAAGGTTTCTATGAGCGATGTGACTCTTCTGCCCGTTTGGACTCCCAATTAAATGTTCTTGCCACTGAAGCCCTGGGACCACCGATCGGGAAGCAGAGAACATGAGCCTTGACTCTTCTGTGAGTAAGCCTCGGCCCTCGGCAAGGCCTGCCTGGTGCAGGCCTGCGGAGGAGGGGTTGTTAACGTGTGCTCCCTTCTGTCTGCTTTCTTCCCAGGCGGGGAACACGGCTCTGCACCTGGCCTGCCAGAATAGCCACGCCCAGAGCACACGCGTCCTCCTGCTGGGCGGCTCCCGCGCCGACCTCAAAAATAACGTGGGTGGACAAACCCGGCCTCGCACGCTCTCATGTCGCCTCGGAAAGTAACCCTGCAAGCATGCTAGAGTATTCACATGTAGACAGTAAAAAGGGTTCGGGGACTGCCGAGAAAGTATTCATTTTTTGCTTAATTCCTAAGGGGTCCTTTAGGGGGGATGGGAAGAGGACTCAACACTCGGAAACACTGCTTTTCTCCCATCCTTGCTCCCTCGCCCCTCAGCCTCGCAGTCTGTTTTATTGCGCACAGCAGGCGTCTAGCATGTGAGTTTAGGAGCGAAGCTAATTGTTTTCAGGAAGCCTCTGCCCGCAGAGGCTTCCTGAAAACTCTTAGCAAATATTGGTTGATGCTGTACCCGGGAGGCCTTCTGATGCTTCATGCCCGGCGTCTACAGATCCATTACTGAGGCATCCTTGGGATGAGCTGATGGGCCAGTAGTTCTTAGAGGTGCCTGACCTGAAAGGTGCCGTGGGTATCCCTCCTCCCTCCACAGAGCTGCATTTCCTTCATGAAGCCCGTGTCTCAGCCACGTGACAAGAGAATCTGAGGCTTCTCTCAAAAATGGCTTTAGCCGGGGCTCCCCTGGTTTGGGGGCAGACTCATCTAAAGTGGTTCTAAGAATGCTCTGAACTTCAACTTTGAGCTTGGTTCCTTCTTAATCCGGGGGGAGAAGGTTGTGCTGACGGCCAGCAGCTCTAGACAGAACTAGAGCTTGAATGGAAACGCCAGGGGAGCACTGCAGAAGGTCGCCATGTTGTCTCCAGTTCTGTTGTTTTCTCTCTGGAAGCAGGACTAAGGAAGGTCCTGATCCCCAGTTTTTCTGAATGTCCCGTTTTACACTCAGTGATTGCTTCCTCATCAGCTCCCTAGACTACATTGCTCCCCATGGGATACTGGGGTCCTACTAAAATGGGATGCACTTGAATTTTTTAGAGTACACGCTCTTAAAGTCCAGTGGCTCACCCTGCTCTCCTGGTCCACTCAGCCATGGTGGATCTGTGATGGGAAAGTCTCATTTCCAAAGCAGTGCTGTTGGTCTTAATCAGGGCACTCCAGAGCCTTCGGGTCTTAGGAGAGGCTGGGGTCAGCGGAGTCTTAGTAAATGCGAGCTAAGCAGAGCCTCCCTTAGCTCTTGCGAAGGTCTCATGGGGAGCAGGCATCCAGTGTATGAAACCCGAAACAGTCTGCATCGTGGGGAAAAAGCAGGGCTGCAGACAGAAAAGGGCTGTGAGTTGTGGAGTGAGCATCTGTGGTAAAGGAGATGCTTATAATTCAGGCTGTTACCTTCTAAAGAATATATGCTAGCCTGCCAGCTTTTAAATGATATTTTCTTTTTATCTTCTCTGTTTTGTAACCACTCAGACTGTGCTTAGAGTTTGATTTCTGTTCGCAGGCAGGCGACACCTGTTTGCACGTTGCTGCGCGCTATAATCACTTGTCCATCATTAAGCTCCTCCTCAGTGCTTTCTGTTCTGTCCATGAAAAGAACCAGGTCAGTGCATGTGTCCTCCCCATGGTTAACCTGCAGGTGTGTTGGCATAGACGGGAGCAGAGGCTGCTGGGGGTCCCAGCCTGGGACTTGGCCAGTGCTGGCCTTTGCAGGAACCATGGAGTTCCTGTGGCCCTGGTTTATCTGGCCTCCTGGAGAAAACATGCCCTTAGCATTCCAGTTCATATCACCACATTTGCATAGTGAACATTTTCTGGAGATTTGGGGTGGGTTTTGTTTTTAGTGTGATTTTTAAAAAGGAAACCCACAAGGAAGAGTGGCTTAGTAAATAAGGAAGGGCATTAGGTGTCTCATGACTCCTGAATTCTCTTACCTGAACTGCCACCTTTATGTGAGCTGAGGGAGTCTCTCCTTTCTGTAAAGTTCGGCACCTGATCAGTATCTACACCATATACTGGGGTTTTGAAATCTGTGATTATTAGTGTTCTGTGGAAATGTGATTTTTGTAGTTATGTGGATTTTTAAAAAGTTGTCTTGTTATTTATTGATACCTATACCTAAGTGATGCATTGTTTGACTTTTCTGAGTTTGGGTACGTAAATCTGAAATTAAAAAAAAATTAGATTGTGATTCAGATTAAAAATACCCTATAATGGTGGTTACTGATCCTGGCCGCATATTAGAATCAACAGAGGATTTAAAAGTACCATTCCTGAGTCCCACCCCAATGTAAATGATCAGAACATCTTGGGGTGAGGTCCAGGCAATGGTATTTTTATTTTATTTATTTATTTATTTATTATTATTTATTTTTTTTGGCGGTACGCGGGCTTCTCACCGTTGTGGCCTCTCCTGTTGCGGAGCACAGGCTCCGGACGCGCAGGCTCAGCGGCCATGGCTTACGGGCCCAGCCGCTCGCGGCATGTGGGATCTTCCCGGACTGGGGCACGAACCTGTGTCCCCTGCGTCGGCAGGCGGACTCTCAACCACTGCGCCACCAGGGAAGCCCTAGGCAATGGTATTTTTAAAAAGCTCCTGGCCTGAGTGTGCAGACAGGATTGAGAACCACTGACCTAATAAAATAGCTAAATTCTGTCATTCTCCAGTCTCGCCATGGGCTCTAGTTTCATCAGGTTACCCCCAAACAGCCCTCGCCAACCAGTGCTGCTTCTCAACCTGGGTGGTATATTTCAGTCACCTGCGAGCTTTGGGAAATCATCAGACCCAAGCCACACTCCAGGCCAATTAGTGTCTGTGTGGGACCCAGGCATCAGTAGTTTTTAAGGCTTCCCAGCTGATTCCAATGAGCAGGCGAGACTGGAAACCACTGCTCCAGAGCTTCCCTCAAAACACACAACTAGGTGACTCAGGAATGAAATGAACACTTTCTTCGGCTACTTACCAGAGAAGGAGGGCCTTGGGATGGCGGGATTTTCATGCTTTACTTGTTCACCTGCTAGGAACGAATGAATGATTTCACTTCTGTATTGGTTTGACTTATTTATGTCATTCTGTTTGGGAATTAAAAAGTTTGCATTTGGAACTGGCCCACCAAGCTGCATTTGACATAGCCTTCTTTCACAGTTGATTGAAATATTTTTGTTAAAAACAACAACAAAAAACTTACAGGCAATTTGGTAAGAGTTTGAAAACATCTAGTGTTAATCGAATACTGATTCTCAGTGACTCCACCCAAACAAAACACCCTGGCCTGCAGGATGATTCCAGGTGGCCCTTTCACATCCCTGAGGATGGCTGCAGGGCTGGGATATTACTCCAGGGCCTGTGCAAGTAGCCATCTTTGAAGCTTCTGCTCATTCTAATTCAGAAACCAAGGGGTTCTCTGCCCACCCCCTGCCTGGGCAGAGGGACAGGGTCCAGAGCTCCTGGCTACCTGCCTGTGATCCTGCCTTTCAGGTCAGGTCCCACCATTCCCAACAACCCAGGCCCAGCATGACTTTGCCCCCTGCATTTAATCCTGTCCTGTGATTTCTGGCATCTCCACTCAGAAAGGAATGTGGTATTCGTGCGTAAGTTCATTCAGTTCCAGAATCTCTTTCAAAAGAGCCACATTTAAACAACAGGGTCCTACTGTATAGCACAGGGAACGATATTCAATATCCTGTGATAAACCATAATGGAAAGGAACATGAAAAAGAATATATATATTTATAAAAATCATTTTGCCATACAGTAGAAATTAACACAGCATTGTACATCAGCTATACTTCAATAAAATAAATTTTAAAAATAAAAAATGAAGTATGAGTTAAAAATAATAAAAGAACCACATAACACTTTAGCCAAGGTCAGTCAGTCTAAGACAGATTTTAGTTTGACTTTGAAAAGCCACTGCCATGCCATGGATTAAAAACCGGAGGCCTGTGGGCCACGATCCGATGGGGTTTAGCCGGCTTTCTTCTGATTAATTTCAGGCTGGAGACACAGCACTTCATATTGCTGCTGCCCTAAATCACAAGAAGGTGGTTAAAATCCTACTGGAAGCCGGAGCCGATGGGACCATCGTCAATAACGTAAGTGGAGTTGCAACAGTGGTTTCCTCTCTGGATCAGGGTGTGTTGTTGCTGCCTCTCCCCCTGCGGACTCCAGAGCACAGCCTCACCCAGGCTCGCTCGGGAAGACCATGCGGCGGCACTGACCCCATGATCCTGGGGCCTGTGGGGGTGAACTTGAGGGGACCCTTGCTCTCAGCAGCCCCACGAGTTACAAACCCTGAGGGCTCATCTTCAGACAACTCAGCGAGCATGTCCTGGCATGAAAAAGGGTCACGGGTGTGTAAGTAAACTGGCAAGTGGATGTTACCGAAAGTGAGTTCCAGGCCTTTTAAACAGATGTAGTTCTCAGAAAAATGGCCACCAGGCTAATCTTCCTCAAAACTCCAACTGCTTTCTCTCTAAAATCGTCTTCTCTCACACCCTCTCTCTCAATGTCTCCCTCCTTCCCTCCCCCATTCCCCTCCCCTCCCTCTCCCCTCCCCATCTCATCCTATAGCAAGCACCAGCTCAGGCACCCTCTCTTCCTCGAGGTTGGCCTGTGATCTCTGTGCTCCTGAAATTGCACAGACTCGGGGGGCACTGGGGGTGGAACAGTTGTCTGGTGAGTTGGGGGTGTCGAGGCTGGTAGTCCCCCCTCCCAGCTCTAGTACCTGGATTGGTGGTACCTCCCCCATGATGCCATGAGCACCTTTCCCTTCCTTTGAATCCCACTGTTTTCAACTCCTGGTCTGGGCTTTAATCTCGCTAGAGTCTCTGTTATGGCCATAGCTTCCTAAATGTTTTTCACAGTCCAGTTCCTGAGACTCTGTGGCTGGGCCCCGATCTGCCCTTCCAGGTGTTTTCTCCATTGTGCTCCCGGAAAACGTATCGCTTGGCTGGATTTTTATGATGTTTTGTGTTTTCTCAAGTGACATGTTCCACCTTGACCCCATCTGTTTTGTTTTGTTTTGTTTACCTCCCTCAATCCCTTTTCCAGGAAGACTTCCTGGGTGAGCAGTGCCCCCTGACCATTGTCTCTTAGAACACCTACTGCTCACCTGGTCAGCACTTACCCCGTGTGCCTGTGTCCTCAGGTGTGACTGGGCTCCCCGTTGGATGGGTGAGACTCGAGCAGGACCATGTCACATGCACGGTTGCGTTTCGCTGAGCACATTTGTAGGTGCTGGTGTGACCGGGTTGCTAGCTCCTGGGAGAGCTGTCCCCGCTGGGCTGTGCGTGCGCGGGGCTGGTGTTCCGTACTCACTGGTCCTCCCTTTGCCTTTCCTTAGGCAGGCCGGACTCCACTGGAGACTGCCCGCTACCACAATAATCCGGAAGTTGCTCTCCTTCTCACTAAAGCGCCCCAGGTAGGATTTAATGCATTTTCCATTGTATTGATTATGCAGGGGCTGCAGGGTCGTTGGGATTCCCCGGTTGCCATCTACTGAAGCCAATTCAGACCAACTTAAGGGGACGGATGGGCTTACTGTCCAGGCAGCAGGAAGTGTAGGAATCCACGTGAGCCTCCAGGATACCTGGAACCAGAGATCTCAGGCCCAGCAGGCTGTTCTCATACATGGGCATCATTTCCTCTCTGTGGCTGGATCATTGTCACAACCAGTTTCCTGAATCATAATTTCCCAGCCAGGGAAAAGTTCCAGTTTAAAATGTCATAGGAGGGACTTCCCTGGTGGTCCAGTGGTTTAAAACTCAGTGCTTCCAATGCAGGGGGCGTGGGTTCAATCCCTGGTCGGGGAACTAAGATCCCACATGGAGTGTGGCACGGCCAAAAAATAAATAAAAATGGTAAAACATCATAGGAGAAGATCATGATTGGCGAGCTTGGGGTAAATGCCCGGAACAGGTGGGGCAGAGGTGCTTTAGGAAGATGGTGGCATCCGTTTGACCACGTGGTTAGAAGAGAAGTATTTCCCAGACAGAGGTGGGATGAGGCATCCATCTGGGCAGACGAAGCCGTAAATGTCCACTAGAGGCAGTTGAGTACTGTATAGTTTTCTCATTTTTTATTAAATAATGGTATATTGGCCATCATTCAATTTAAGAAGATGACTTATATCTTAGTTGAGGTTGAAACGATCTAAGTCACAAAGAAATTTAATAGTGATGATTTATAAGCTATTTATAATTTTAGTACCCTGAAATAACTTTGTTTATAGTACCTTCCACAGACACATAATTTTTATATAGTTGTGTCCACAATGTATGTACTCTTTGGTATTATGCCCTTTATCCTAAGTGTAATAGGAAGCTGTTCTGTAGTCTTTACAGTTATTTATCACAGTGGAAGCATAATATTCTTTCTTTGGTTGCTGTTCAGTATCTTGTTAAACCATTTCCTTAATGTTAGACATTTAGGTTATTTCCCAGAGGGAAAACAGGGAGCCAGAGGGAGAGTCTGGACCCCAGCCTGCTGCACCATGGCCCAATCCCAGCCAGCCTGGGGTTCTGCACGGCCTTGATTCCATTTAAGTTTTAAAAACATGCCTGATATAACTAGCAGTTTCTGGAAATGGTTAAGATTTTTGTCTCTTGCAAAATCAATCACCCTCTTGCCCGTGGAGAAGGTCCTTCTCAGTGGGCTCTGAAAATCCACAGAGCCCCTGACAGGTGCGAGTCGGGTGCTCCTTTGGAAAAAGGCTCCACCTCTGCCTAGCTGTTTGCAAACAAATCCTCAGCAGAATCACCTCTGGGAATCCTGATTAAAAAAAAAAAAAATGCTAGTCTTTTGCAGATTAAAAGGGACACGGTGCGCGGGCTTCCCTGGTGGAGCAGTGGTTGAGAGTCTGCCTGCTGATGCAGGGGACGTGGGTTCGTGCCCCAGTCCGGGAAGATGCCACATGCCACGGAGCGGCTGGGCCCGTGAGCCATGGCCGCTGAGCCTGCGCGTCCGGAGCCTGTGCTCCGCAACGGGAGAGGCCACAACAGTGAGAGGCCTGTGTACCGCAAAAAAAAAAAAAAAAAAGGGCAGGGTGCTATATAAGTGTCAGAATCCATTAGTTACCTGGTATTTCAGTGGCTGGCAGTTTGATGGACAGCTAGCTCCGTGCTCAGCCACATGAGGATCATCAAATCTTGTGGGATGGAGGGTCCCCCGGCACACGAGGATTGATGTGCCTTTAACCTGCCTTCCATTTATCTTCCAGAGCCCAAGAATCTCGATTCCCAGGGATAAAGCTCTCTTGTGGACTATTTTCCTGTGTGGTTCTCCTTTAGCATTTCCATTAAAAAAATGACTTAAGCTAGTTTTTCCACACCCATATTGAATAGCAAATAAATAGGATATTTTTAAAGTTTTTGTTTTTTTACATAATTGTACATACTAACCCTTATTTTCAGTGCAAAGAAAAAGCTTTGGAATATGCATAAAATTGCATGCATACTGTTCTGTTGATCTGTGGTTATAGAAATGGTCTTGTCTGAAACGAGAAATCCCCTTGCCTTGGCACCTTAGTTGACCATGGATTTCGATGGTTCACAGCAGTAGTAAGAGGATACTTCTTTCCAAGGCCTTAAGATCAATATTTCCTGATTTCTCTGAAGTGGGAAAGATTGATGATGGTCCATTTGGTGGATGGCCTGGCTCTCTGAGAAAGGCTGTGAGCCATGCAGAGTTGTTTTCATTGGCTAATAACATGGTCTATGGAGGGAATTTTTCTGATTATCTTGTGTTTGGGTGAAGTGAGTGTTACTTCTTATTTTTGATTGATGTGGTTCACAAATGCTTTGGAAAGTGAATTTCAGGCTGATTCTGGAGCTGTGTCCTGTTCTAAGTGTCTATAAAGCAGACGAGCAACGGGCCTTGCTTCCCTTTATCAGACTCGACTTCTTACTGAGTCTAAAATTTAGCTGAGGACATTGGTTCTCAGACCTTTTTGGTCTAAGGACCCTTTTACTTTCTTAAATATTACAGAGGCCCATAAAGAGCTCTGTTTATGTGAGTTTATATCTATCAATAATTACCGTATTTGAAAATAAAATTTAGAAATATTAAAGATATTCATTTAAAAAGTCCATTTTGTAGCAACATAAATAGCATCATTTTGTGAAAAAGAACTTTTTCAGAACAAAAATGAGAAGAGTAGCATTGTTTTACATTTTTTGCTCATGTCCTTACTGTCTTACTTAGAATTCTGGCATCTTTTATTGCTGCATGCAGTCTATTGTAATGTCACTGACGTAGCTTCTGGCAAACGCCACAGTACACTCATGAGAGAATGAGCATGAAAAATGCCAATGTTGTTGTAATATTATGAAAATAATCTTAACCTCATGGACTCGGGTCCCTGGACACTTTCAGAACTGCTGGCTTCAGGGGATGAGAATATAATTTAAAAATCCGGTTCAGCTGCAGGCAGATATTGTCAGGAATTCTCCATTTAGGAGGTACCCACTGCCCGTGGAGGATTTTCTTGTCCTATAATGTGTCACTTGAATTTAATGAACACAAGAAGAAGAAAGTCTGACATTGAGATGAAAAACACTAGGCTGAACTTCAGAGAGCCCTTATCTATCTGTATAAGAAGACAGTAGAATATTGTTTTACTGCAGAAAGTGTGGCCTTGAAAGTGCTTTCACTGTCTGGACCCCCTTGGGTTTTTTAAGGGGGGTAAACCCTGGAACTATGAGTAGGGAGTCTGGAGGGAGACGGGTGTGGACCTGAGCCAGGGATTGAAGGTTTCCACCACCTCACAGGTCTGCACTCCATGATTAAACATCTCTGCCAGCTGAGCACTCTAAGGCCCCTAGGCAGGTGGAGACACCCCCAGGGACCACTGGTCCAAGGCGTGCTGGCCACCTACATTGTCTCGGTTAATTCCGGCAGCTCCCCGTTCTCACTTTGAGAAGACAGAGCACAGAGAGGTCAAATCACTTGCCTGAAGATCCCCAGCTAGCTGCTGCTGGGCTCCTGTAGGCCTGTGGTGTCCCACGTGTACTTGCCTGTGTCCATTCCACCTCTCTGCCCTTGAAGGGGCAGACCACAGCCTTCTTTTAGGGGAAGAGACTCCTGCCCCGTGGTTGGTACCATGGCTCACAGGTACATCTCAGTTAGGCTTGAATTAAAGTTATGTTTGAATGTGACTTGGATACAGTTTGGCCAAGAGAAAATCTGATGGGCTACATCAGGTCCAGTGTCCCAGGATAGACCGTGCCTGGCACAGGGCTGCTGTGTCATACAACTCCAGGGGACACCGTTCACATCCTAGTCTATGTGAGCCATGCTCCCTGGAGCTGAGCCGTGCACGGCCTGCTCACACCTACGTGGACGCCCTGGCCCATCGCTAAGTGCCTGTTAGTGTTGCTGTCCTAGACTGTGAGCTCAAGGTCAGGATTGATGTCCTGCCGTCTCTGGGACCCTAAGCGCCCAGCACAGGATGTAGGAGGCGTAGTGGGTGGTCTGGAGGCGCTTGTTTGATGTGAACGTCTGGTCTCCCCCCGCTTGGCTGGAGGCTCCATTAGGTCCGCGCACACCAGTGGTTTGTAACGATGCCTCTTGCCTCCTTCAGGTCTTGCGCTTCAGTCGAGGGCGAAGCCTGAGGAAAAAGAGAGAGAGGCTCAAGGAAGAGAGGAGAGCTCAGTCTGTGCCGAGAGATGATGTGGCACAAAGCAAGGTGGGGGGGTAGCCACTGCCAGGGTGGGAAACTGTCTCCCTGCCTCCTCTGGGCCTGTCTGGCGGCTGCCGGGCCCTCCTCTGTCTCTCCTTTCCTCGGGGTCCTTCAAATCTTGTCCGTCTTTCCTTCTGGCCTCTTGTCTTCTCCTCTCCACGATTTCAGGCCGTGCACTCTCATGCCGCCCATCTTTTCCAGCACCCTGTGTGGCTGTATTTGCGAGCCCCGTGCATCCGTGGCCTTGTCGCTTCCATGTGGAGAGCACAGCCTCTCTGATACCACACCCTTCATCATGTAGAACAGAGGCTGTCAAAATGTGGATCCACTTTGTCACCTGGAATCTTGGTAGAAATGCACATCTGGGGGCCTCACCCCAGACCCACTGGATCAGAAACTCTGGGATAGGGCCCAGCAATCTGTGTTTGAACAAGCCCTCCAGGTGATTCCAATGTGGACTACAGTTGGAGGACCAGTGGCGTAGCTTGTTGCCTCTCCTTCCGCTTAGGGAGTGAACAGAGGCTGTGCTAGCCCATACGGCTCCTCTGTGCAAATTAGAAAAAGATGCCTTCTGGGCAGACCAGCCTAGCACAGGGCACGTATGGTGAATAGAGCCCAAGATGGACTTCAGCTCCCTCAGCCCCACTCATGCCCTCGGCTAGGTGCCTTTGTGCAGTGAACAGCTTGCACAGCTGTGCACAGCAGCCCTGGAGTGAACCATGCCTTTCAGCTCTCCCAGGAAGATGAAGACTAGGATATAGAGACAACTTCTGGCACATAAAATTTTATACCAACTATTTGTTTTTCTCTTTTAAAATCTTACCAATTTCCAGGGTTAAGGCATTGTAACTCGTATTAGGTTCCTGTGTGTGAATTGTACATATTAACTTGTAAAAGTTCTCACAAGGACCAGAAATGTGATTTTTTTTTTTTCATTTCAGAAGGTTCTCACTCTCCTCTGTGAATTGTGAAGGTCCAAGATCAAAGAATGAGTGGCGTTTTCTTTTTGTTGAAATGTAAAAGACCAAAAAATCTCTAATGCTGAGGTGTTTTGTGTGTACTATGTTCCTAAAGTTGCAGGACATAGAGTTAGACCCAAGGCAGTATCTAGTTTGGCACCTAACAGATGAAAAACCAAACATTCAACTCACCAGGAAAAGCACAGGTGTTCAGTTAAAACCACCAAGCAGTGCTTCCTATGTCTGAAATTTGTCACTGGAAAAGATTCCCAGGGGTCCTTTAGTGGATGGAGGCTGGGAAATTTTATGCCATTATTGAAAAAGGCTGGGAGATCAAGTAGAAGAGGTTTCTGGGCTTTTTCTTCTCTGTAGGGAAGTGTCTCAGCAGGAGACACCCATAGCAGTGAACAGGCTGTACCCAGAAAAGAGTCCAGAGAAGATTTCCTGTCCGCCTCCCCGGAGCCCAGAGCAAAGGACAACAGGCAGAAAAAGTCAAGGCCCAAGGTCAGGAGGCACGTGAGAGCTGCCGAGAGGGCTGGGAGGAGGGCTGGCGGAGGGCCCCGGGATAGCATCATGCCCAGCAGCTAAAAAGCCACTGCAGTTGGCTTGCTTGCTGGTTTGGAGCCAGAGCACAGAAATCGGCCCTGGCTGGCTGCAGACACAAGGTAAGCATGCTGGTACATCTCTTTTGACACGTACCTGGCGTAGA